AAAAAAATTTACTATAAATTTTAATAAATTTTTAGCTCTCATCTAACTTTTGTTATAATAATTAAAAAATTATAAAAATTTTTTTTCAACCTGGATTTATCTAGTACTATTTATAATAAAAGTTTTAAATTTATAGCTTTTTAATTTAAAAAGTTATAAGGGGGGGGATACTTATGACTGTGACTGTACTTAACCACATTATTATTTTGATTTGAAAATTGATTTAATCATTCATTATTTTGTTTAAAGCTTGCTTCCCTTAATAAAATAGTTTTGTTTAATAGAACAACATTAAGAAAAGGATAGTTGAGGGTTTCAAGTGGTTCAATTTCACTTGCCAGATACCAATTTTCAAGTATTCCATACAGGCAAGCAACTTTTATGAATTGTTATTAAGCTTTTTTTGAAGCACTTTACATGGCAAGGATCTTTGACCTATTTTATTTTTGTCAAGATCAGATATGTGAATTTTAACAAATTTACCAAGTTCAAATTTTTATTTATGTTTAACTTTGTATTTTTCTTCCATTCTATTTCATATAACTTCTTGATTTCTTTTTATATTTAAAATTGCTGATTGTCAGACTGATTCATGTTGTTCAAATGATAAATGAATTAAATTTGTATTGGTTAATAACTACAAAATTTTTTTTTGATTATTAGTATACAAATATATATTTTTATTATTTTTTTTAATTTTTTTTTGTATTATTTTATTTTTTTTTTAAATTATTTTTTTTAATTAATTTATTTATTTTAAAAAACAAATAATTAATATAATTAACCTTAATATCTTCACATTGAGATTGTCATTTTTCTTTTTCTAACAATGTATAATGTTGATCTTTATTTATATCATCATCTGAGTCTATAATTTCAATAATTTCTGAAGCTAATGTGTTTTTAGAACACTCTTCAATTTCAGAGTCATATAACAATGATATAAAATCATCATAAAACTTTGTAAGATATTATAATGATTTTGTACTTTTTCAAGATAACTATTAGTTTTTGTATTTTATTTGCATTATCAATTTCTTGTAGTTCATATTCATCAACATCATTATAATTATCTTCAACTTGCTCTATATTATCATTAAACTCTTGAGACTTCTCAAAATATTTTTTATTAAGTTCTGATTCAACTATTTCATTACTAATTTTAGAACTAATAGTCAATTGAGAATTTTCTGATATTGGAGTATAATTATCTGATGACTCTTCATCTTTCAATATGTTAATTAAATTCGTATTACAATGTGGAAGCTGTCTGAATACTAATTTATAAGAAATTAATTTATGTGCTTAAAATACTGACTGTTCATGGCCCCTAAAAAATTATTATATTAAAATGATATTACTAATTAAATAAAGTTAAATAAAAATAAATAAAAATTAAATAAAA